TTCCCCCCCCCCCCCCCGTTTCCCCGCAGGCGACGACGCGCAAATCGTAACATTTTCCTATTCATTTTACCTGAAGACATGTACAAGTGGTGCAAACACTCGTATAAAAGAGGGAAAGAGGAGCAGAGAGGGCCCCCCGAGGATAACACGAGTCGATACACCTCCCCCTTCCCCACCCGCCCCCCCATGCCGCCATCTCGTATACGGTACAACAGATACCTACGTAATTAGTTCGCTTTTGATGAGAAAACTCTCGGCAACTGCCTGCACACACAGGACTCCTACTACGTATATAATCCCGGGGTAGTTTGAATTCGAGACAGATGAAAAGAGGAGGGAAAAAAGGGGGTGCGGGAGAGGGTGGAAGGGGGTGGGGTGGGGGAGGGGGTAGTGGGTAGGTGGTGGAGGGGGAGAGGGAAAAAATTGAGAGGAAGATGATAGTATCTGTGCGAGGTACAAAGGATCGTTTGACTGGACTTTTTCCACTCCCTCCGGTGCTTCGAGAGTGTTTCTCATTTTAGGAAAAATCGAGATCGAACGAGTGAGATTAATACGAAAAATGTTAACCGAGTCCTCGGGGATAATTAGCTCCGCGGGGTTATCGCTGATGCAGAGATTTTTAAGGGGGGGAGGGAGGGGTAGGAAGTTGTTTGAAAGTTTTAGGGGATGTTGAGAATTTAAGGCTGGGATTTTTAGGTGGAGAGGTTTTTGGGGCGGTTATGGAGCTGGGAATTAAGAAAATGGAGGGAGGTTGGTGAGCTTCGGGGGTGGCAGGGGGAACTTTATGTGGTGATTTAATTTATGGTTAATTGGGGTTGATTTAATTGAGTTAATTTTTTAAGTTAATTTGATTCAATTTAATTTGTGTTTTGACGGGGAATTTTGCACTTCGTAATTATTTTCATCGAGTTCACTGAAATCGTAAGGAATTTTGTAATGCAAAATTGATAATTTCATGGAAAAATCAGTGGGAAACGTAAATTTCAGTTTAATTATTCCGAGAAAATTAATCAATAATCTAGAAAACTCAGAGAAGTCTCTCCTTCAATTTAACATTCCTTTGAATTTTCAGACAATTCATTCAGAAATTCCTGAAACTCTAAGAATTTTAAAGGAATTCTCTGAAAATTGAAGGATATTTGACAGTGAATATACATTTTCACTAGAAAATTCATATTGTGACGTTATGAGTTTTACCCGTTTGGTAAAACTCAAATTAAAGGATACTTCTTCTGCTAATCTCTCGATTGTTAATCCTTTCCTGGTTCACTCCTGCCTCGGCTACTTCGGCGGTGAGCTCACGGGGGGTCCGCTCACTCGGAGGGATGTTAAGGATGGAGGATCGTGGAGGGGTTAAACCTCTTAGTAAACACTCGCGTACAGTTAGATAAAAGTATGATATATTGTCTAACTTGATGGTGAATTACACGATATCTATATTGATGGGTCGGTTTAACGCGTAGTTAATGGTGTTTTACTCGACTGAGACTCTGACTTGTGGTAGTCTTATCTGGCTGAAGGCCTGAGCTTTGACAGATCCTTTCTGTTTCGCTCTCGATCGTGCTCTGCCGTACCCTGGTGCTTCCAGAGTCCTCGAAACTCATCAAAGTCTCAGTTTGCTGATCTAAGCAATCTCACGGTTTTTCTCACTAACACAGTCTTGTGTCGTCATTGACACAAACTACAACAGTCAAACAGTTCGGTACCCCCGAACTGGACTTGTTGAAAACCGTGGGACTGCTTACCAAAGTGTCCAACTGACACCCTGGAATGGCTGACCATTGTCTGGATGGCAGGAAAGAGAAATCATATTTCTCATTCCTCTCATCCACCATTTATGTGAACATTTCACATAATTATTAACTAAATCGACGTATTGGTCTTTCCCAATACGTCACAATATAAATTATGGAATTTGTCGCCGGAATAAATTTCACATAATTGAAGCATAATCATTGAAAGAAAAATACGAGTTTATTAACCTCCAACAAAACTGTAGTTGGAATGAATAAAAAAAAACTTCAAATGAAGACAAAAAATTGAAAAATCTTTTTTTGATTATCTCTTGTCATCTCCTCGTCTCTTCCAACAAAACTATATTTGGAATGAGTAAAAAAAATTAAAATGAATACAAAAAATGACAAATCATTTTTGATTGTTTTGTCATTTCATGATCTCCTCCGAAAACATGAAAATAAAAATACACAATCGTTTAATTTAATTGTTTTCTATGTCACTTCGGCCTTCCCCAGTCCATTACAATAATTTTCCATACCATAACATTGAAATAATCGTGAGCCAACGAAGCGCAACGATCGGATAATCCTCATAATAACCATAATTATTATTATTATTATTTTTTTTTCGAATGAAATATCGTATTCGCCTATTAATTTCTCGACCTTTCCCACGGGCTGTCATAAACCATGCACCGCCACGCCCCGTATTGCGTTCATTTAACGCTTTTGGATCTACTTTTTCCGCATTTTCTGTCGAGAAAATTGCGACTAATTGGTGGGACATTATTTCTCGTTGTATATATATATTTTTTTTTACAGAAAGAGAATTGTGGGTTATTCACAATTAATGCGAGTGTTTAAACTCTGATTGAAACTGTTTTGACCATTTTCAGACGGTGGAACGACGACTAACAAGGTGTCGAAGCGAGCTAAACCACTGGATCCAGAGGACGATTACTACTACTACGACGACGTAGAGGAGAGAAACAATCCGACGAATGAGGCGCCCGCTGTACCACCGGGCTTCCTCAGTCCATCGGTTAGAGAGTATCTCGATCTCGGGAAGTCTATTCCTGGTACGTTGATTATGGAATTTAATGGGCGAGTGCTGGATTGTGAGGGAAAAAAATTAATTTGATCTTCAGTAAATGGGTGATTCAGCTACTGAGTAGACCTGTTAGATTGACTGTGACGGAGTCATTAATTATTCAATTCCTTGAATTTGTTTGGACGAATCAATTGATGAAAAATTATCGAGTTAATGAAGGAGAAGATTTTACATTAGAATTATTTTGAATTATATTTTTTTTTAATGCATGGAGCGAATTGATTAAAAAAATTTAATGTAGCGAATTTACTCAAACGAATTCGACAATAAAAAATTAAGAAATCACGTGAATTTTTGGACATATGGGTGTCGCGATGACATTCAATTCAGTAGCGCAGTGGTAAAACGGTTTAAGTCGATTTTGACTACTGGCCAGTTTTTAGTGAATACCTCAGAATCTAAGGGAGACAGCTGAATTTTCGTCATGACCTTTTTTGTAGCACTCACTTTGCTCTGGAAAAAAAGGTTATTACGAAAATTTTATTATCTCCTTTAGATTCGGAGATATTCTTCAAAAACTCAACTAAGAGATAAGTCGACTTAAACCGTTTTACCACTTCGATACTGAATTCCTTAATGAAGTCAGGTAAAGGAGTGTGGTAGACTCGGATGTATTCACTAATTACTCGATTTCATTAATTTGTTTGAACGAATAAATTGTTGAGAATTTTTTTTTTTAATAATTACATATTTTGAAGCTTGAGGGGTGTAACTTTAAATGAGTAATTTGATGAATTAATAGGAAAAAATTCAATGTAACGAATTTACTCAAACAAATTCAACAATAAAAAATTATAAAACGCCGTGAATTGCTGGACACCTGTGTATTGAGATAAAATTCAATTCACAAATGAATTCCGGTCCAGTAATTTGATTGACTGTGACGAATTTATTAATTATTCAATTCCCTTAATTTGTTTAGACGAGTAAATTAATGAAAAATTATCGAATTAATAAGGGAGAAGATTCAAATTGTTTTGAATATTTTTTTTTAAATCGTAAAATATTCTGAAAGTTGAGGAACATAATTTGAAGGGAGTCATTTTTTAAAAATGCATGGAAAGAATTAATAAGGAAAAATTCAATGTAACGAATTTACTCAAACAAATTCAGCAAAAAAAAAGGAAAACCCCGTGCATTTCTGGACACCTGGGTATCGAGATAAAATTCAATTTATCAATGAATTCCGGTTCAGTAATTTGATTGACGGTGACATATTCATTAATTATTCAATTCCCTTAATTTGTTTGGACGAGTAAATTATTGAAAAATAATCGAGTTGATGAGGGAGAAGATTTTATATCCAAATTGTTGTGAATAATATTCAAAAAAATTGATAAAACATTTTGAAGCTTGAGGGGCGCAGGTTAAAAGGAGTAATTTTTTTAAAACGTATGAAACGGATTGTTAAGAAAAAATTCAATGTAACGAATTTACTCAAACAAATTGAGTAAAAAGAAAATTAAAAACCCCCGTGAATTTGTGGACACCTGGGTATCGCGATAAAATTCAATTCATAAATGAATTCAGGTCGACCGCGCGTGACATTGATGCATGTAAATTTAGTCAGCGCAGTGAAACCAGTGGATAATTTTATTTTTTATTCTGAAAAAAACTCCTCTTTTTCAGTTCTTCATTTTTTGTTTCATCCATATTTTTTGTTTTCATCCTCACGTTCTCCCCTTGTTCTCCTCTATCTTCCGTGCTTCATTCGTGACACTTTTTCGTGCGGAAACACGAGAGCGGGCCAGCTTAACGAGTATAACACCAGCGGAGGGTGTAAAACTCTCGCTTCTCCACCGGTACGACCCACTACGTTTCTCTCTATCTGTTCTATCCACTGTTTCTCTTGTTCACATTTGTGTTTGGGTGGCTGAGAGCTGGGGTGGGATAGGAATGACGAAAATGCGGGGGTCTAAAATGCACTGGATGATGGAAGAGAGGAAATAAAGCGACGATTTAGTCGGATGCTGGTGGTTGGCCGTGGTATTTCGGTTCAGTGAACCTACCGACATCCTATTTGGAATAACAGTAGTTTATACAACTAACCATCAAATATTTTACCAGAAATCCTAATTAAATGAATTCGTTAATGAATTTTTTAATTGAAGCCTCTCTCGGTCTGATAGTTGAGGAAATTGATGGAGTAGGACGAAATTTTTCTTTGGCAACATTTTATTTTTTCGATTTGGAAGAGAAATCGATGAAGAAATAATTGTTCGATTCCCGGCTGGGGGGGCCAAAATTTGTGACACTCTAAATCTCACAGTTTCATTGTCGAGCGGGAAGCTCACAAGAGACGACTGTACCTCGGCAGGTTTTTCCCTCCAATGAGGTTTTCCCTTGTCCGTCGGCGAAAGCGGTACAGGGCGTTGGGGGTGGGAAGGGAGCAAATCGTAAAGATCCGAAAGGGTATACGAGAAGAAAAGAAATTTTAATAATTGTTATTCTACGCGGAGAAAAATTCAGTAGAAAAAATCTAGACATTTCTGGTAAAATATGTGGATATTTATGTAATTATGTCCCCATTCCATTGTTTTTTTTATTAATTATTCCATTTAAATGTCAACCTGTAGAAATGCAGTAGTTGATGGTGTGCGGAGGCGTGGGGTCAGAACTATTTTGATAATTTTCGGTTACTGCCATTTAGGTGCATGGCAGCTTCGAATGAAAATTTTCTGTTAAAATAAAAGAAGTTCTGGTATGAATATCGCTTTAGCCATAATGGTTTTATTCCTTCCACTGAAATTTCAAGGGATTTTATTATTGAAAATTTAAAATTTCACAGAAAAAAAAGGAAACTGTAAATTTCAGTTCAATTTTCCATGAGATTAATGGAAATCAGGAAAATTCCGGTTAAAATATTCTTGAATTCATGAATTCTAACGTCCGATTAATCACTTTTCACGGCTCACTATCTCCGAAGTAAGTGATTTTAGGTGAAAATGGTGTTGAATCTTTTTCGCAGAGAATTCATTTCTCTACCAAAAAATCTTCTTGACATTTTCTTCTAAAATAAGATAATTACAAAAAAATGAAGATCAATACTTCAATATTCACAAGCTCATGAAAAAAGAATGTGAGAAAAATCATTTTTAATTTGCATGAAATGTAGCTCATGAGAAAAGAAACGTGAGAAAAATAATTTTTAATTCGCATAAAATGTAATAATTTTTTCAATATCATATTTTTCATCCGGTTTTGTATTTCACATATCTCATTGGCAATTTAGTATCAACAAACTGCGGTATTTCATCTGAAATTTGTGGTAAGGGTTGCGGAAATGGTGAATTATTGAATACCGTTTCAGCTGCTTCATTATCGCCAAAATGAGTGATTTTAGGTGAAGATAGCATTAAACCTTTTTCGCAGAGATTTCATTCCTCCTCAAAAAAATCCTTTTGACATTTTCTTCTGAAATCCCTTATTTTAGAGATAATTTTAAAAAACTGAAGATCAATGCTTCAATATCCACAAGCTCATGAGAAAAAAACGTGAGAAAAATCATTTTTAATTTGCATGAAATGTAGCTCACGAGAAAAGAAACGTGAGAAAAATAATTTGTGTGAAATGAAATAATTTTCTAAAACAGGAGATGACATAATCCCATTGACTCGCGGATTCTAAACTTACCGAAGGGAGTTATGGGGTGTCAGTACTTACTGCAGTGGAAGTGGCTGAACAGCGGAGGCGTCATCACAGTGAATATACGCAAAGGAGAATAGGGGTCGTAGGTGAGGGCTGTAAGGGAGTGGATAAGGGGGGAGGGATGGAAACGCTCGACTCTCACGGCACTCAGATAGGATAATGAAATACCAAGGCGCGTATACCGCTGCCGATCCCCGGAGCCGTATAGAGAGCATGGCTAGAGGATTTTCTACCCGGAGAATATATTTCTCACCCCAATTCACTCTTCAACATTCTACTCTAATACTGTAGTTTTTATTACTCTATTCATTCTTTATTCCCATTTTCCAACTCGAGAAGATATACATTTTTTATGGAGGAGTGGAGATCATTTTTTGCGGACATTTTATTGAATGAAATGATGAAACTGTATGCAGTAACAAGTCGGTTTTACATTTTTTGTTAGATATTTTTTTATGTCAATTATCTCAGAGATTAGTGGTGTTGGACTGGGAGGAGAAAAAAAATTGGATTTCATAAAAGATCATGAAATTTGAAATTTCGACGTCAGTTTTATGGAATTCTAAATTTTTGAACAGCAAGAATACGAGAATTTCGGAATTCAAGGATATATTCACCTGAAGTTTCCTCATTTCTATTCATTCTCATGCAATAACTGAACTGAATTTATAGTTTTCGTTGATTTTTCTGTAAAATTGTGAATTTTTAACGACAAATTTCCTGCAAATTTCGGTGGAACTGTCTCTTGAAAAAAATCTTCAAATCTACTAGAAATTTTAGCCAAAAGTACTCAACAGTGTGATTATCTCACTGATAAGTGATTTCACTTTGTCAGAAAAAAATGTTTCATAAAAAATCACGAAATTTCAAATTTTACTGAACATTTGATGGAATTTCAAATCTCCTAGCAACAGGAACAAAAGTGTGTCCCTACAATCACACCTTATCAAGACGAATACAAATCCATTAAAAATCATTAATATTAATCCATTTACCGAACATCTTTTCGATTCATTCCCTTCAATTCACCGCAAAAGCGAATATTCAAACATTCTCCCTTACTATATTGTTATTTCAAACTTTTACCGAGAGATAAATCAATCTCCACCCGTTGTCATGCCCTCGAAGCATCTATCCAACAAAATCATTACCACCTCTTCCCGCCCTGATAATCCAATCCCCGTAAACAATGCACCTCATCATTACAACTTCACCCCTTCCCGTTCAATTTCAAGAGCAATAAACGTTAATTGAATTCAAAATTCAGGATTTAATTTGTTTAATTAATTTTTTTTTTCAATTCAGCGAAGATTTATGTAT